TTTACTTTTTTGGTGAGCAGTAAAGGTGTTAATTCAGATTTGCAATTTTTTCATCTTTTTAAATATGGCTGGCACAAGCTACTAATTACAGAAAAGAAAAAAAAAAATGGCTAGTAGACAGAAGGAAAAAACAAATAACGAAATAACGAAAATAACCGAAAAAGCGAAAATAATAAATGAGCACATTACCCATTCGGTGAAGGGCATTCATAACGATAAGACCAAATCGGTAGACTCTTCCCCCAATAAAACGAATCAAAATTCAGAAAAAGACATGCCATTTGGCTTAACAAATTGGGAAATATCTTCCGAGCGTACTGTTTCGAGCGATATACGTGAAGGTAAAGGAGATTTTTTCAGCAATAACATAAAATGCAATAATGCCAAGACGAAATTTAAACGTTACGCATTAAATGGGAACGCCCCAGATGCGCAACATAGTGAACACTCAAACAGATTAGAGGAAAAAAAACACTTACACACAATAATAAAGGAAAAAATCCGCAAGTATAGCATTCATCACAACGGCGGAAGTGGAAACTATTGTAACTCGCCAGAAAAATTCAAGACCGAATGCTCCCAGGAAGATAAGGGAGTTGACAAATCACACACAGAAGAAAATTCAAATAATTCTTTTTACACAAATCAGCACCCCGTTGCGTATTTCCTGCAGCAGGAATATTGTGGCCACGATATAACTATACGCGAAGGGACTCGTCGAAATGTTAAGGAGGATGCAACGCTGGGCCGTTCAAAGTGTTTTAAAGATATGCACAAGAGAAAATTCAACAGCATGACGCGCTTAGAGTCCGCTTCGAAAATTGGGGATGACTCTATCGAGGACTTGCCACGGGATGGTAACTCCCGTGGTGGGGGGAACAAGACCGACACCCCTTCCCATGATGTTAAACAAAGTGGGGACAGTACCAAGAGGGAGGATTGCGAGGACCACTCGTCAGGAAAACCTAGACAGGGGAATGGCGAACCGAATTGCGCTCCTCATCGCGATGAGCACGATCAGCGCCAGAAGAGTGAGCAAAGTGAGCCTGGTGAGCCTCCAGGGAAGAACAGCCCGCACGCTGAAAGTATAATCAGGTGTAACAACGAGGAACTGAAAAGGACTCTTTATAAAGGAGGATCAGCAAACCGTATTGCGCGGATGGAGAGGTCCTCGCAGAAATATCAAGAAAAGGGATGCTCCAGGTATCGCAGAAATTGCTATACTGTTAGGCAGAGCAGCATTAAAAGTATTGTGAATGGTAAGGGTAGACGCCGTGATATGAGGGAGGCAAATAGCGGAGCGCACAGTGAAGCGCGCAGTGAAGCGAATGAAGGGGATTCGAGGGTCGATGAACGGAAAAGCGCGTCGGAGGGGGAAGTAGACAAGTTCAGTGGCGCGGGGAGAGGCTCCTCAGGGGAGGCCCCCTCTCATACAGGTGATGATGGGCACGACCAAGACGACCACGGAAGAGAAAAACACAACGAGGAAGAAGGTAAAAATGAGGAGAATGACGTGCGGGACAAGGGAGATGGTGAGGCACACGATAGGGGAGATATTACGGCGAAGAGCCTGGACGAAGGCGGATGGATAGAAGTCGAGCAGCCGCTCACCTTCTGGGATGCCCTGAAGAACAATTTTAAGAACGTGTTTTTGGTGAAGTCCGAGGGGGAAGCGGCAAATGAAGGAGAGGACGTGTCAAATGGAGGGGAAGATGCGGAAAATGGGGGGAAGGAACCCGTTTTGGAGAGCGCACCAGGCGTGGATAACGAAGCTGATGCTGCTAACTCAGACGATTCAGTCAACCGACATAAGGAATTTTCCGCATCCTCCGCGTGCGCCACGTTTCCCGAGGGAGAGTCCTCGCCCCTTACGCCCAGGCAGCACTTCCCGCTCTCCCCAGACGTGTACGTGAAGTGCCTAAACTTCCTGAGCGCGGAAAAAATACTAGAGTGTGAGTTGGTAAACCGGCTCAGCAGCTATGTCATAAATAACCGAATCAATGTGTTTACCCATGTGAAAAAGCTAACTCTGGATGAGAGGTGGTCCCACATCCCAATATACAAGAGACAGTTCTATCTGCATCAGATGAAAAACGTGAAGCATATTTATACCTCGGAGAAAATTTACTCAGGAAATGGAATGTACATTCACGAAGTAGCAGCAATCATATTTCAAAATGTGCCCAATTTAAAGACTTTAGAGTTACTATCGCCGGAGTATTGTATGAATGATAATACTCCAAGACATGAGCCCTTCGCTTTAGCCCCATCAGTTTTTTCTAAGTTGGAGAAGTTAACAATAATTGGATGTCAAACGTTGGAATGGCTACACATTTTGCGTAATTGTTCCTTCCCATTGCTAAAGAAATTGGAAGTATGCTATTATCCCATCCATCACGATCATTGGGTGTGGAAATTCATCTTCGATTTTACCCTGTTGGGGTTACAAGGTTTGTTTAAAATATTATACACAATGGAGAATCTGCAGAAATTGAGCATAGGGTTTGATGTCCTCTTTGATAACATCGAAGGGTATCTTTATAACCCTTTGGAAAGTCATAGGAATGTTTTACAAGAATTTAATTTTGTTACAAACAATCAGAGGTATACAAATGCGTTGTCTGCTCCCCCGGCGAATGGGAACCCATCAAGGAAGTTTAAGAGCTACCGGGGGAGGATCTGTGAGGAAGATTTTAGTGACATCTTTACCATTGCTTATTACATCTCGGGGAAATGTGGCAAGCTGAAGCGAATTATGATAAAGTACAGGGACTCGTATGATAGCTACGGGGATGAGTTGGATAATGAGGAGACGCTGAATGAGTTCATTTCGGAGGCCACCAACACGGCGTCCACTTACTACAACTATGTGTTGAACTGGTTTCGGTCCGCGGGGGGGACAGAGGCCGGTGCGGCGACGGAGCGGGGAACTTAGGTAGTGATGGGAAGCAAGATAGTACAGGGAGAGAAGACGGGCGGAGAAGATGTGGGGAGAAGAAGAGATATGTTCCGGTTTCCGTGCATTGTGTGTGGGTTACCGTGGAAGCGCCCGGTTTCACCAAATGGGATGATCCCATAACGCGCACCTTCGGCTTGGCGATCTGGCTCCCCCCAGAAAGGCGTACGCCCGAGATTGCACAAACGGTTCTTCGGAGCTTCTTGGCACCCTCACATGAACACCCCGACTGGCCAATTAAAAAGAGCAAACTCCCCGGGGTAATTTCTGTCAGACGAAGTGCCGCCTCGCTTGGTGTGATCCCCAATATTCGCTTCCCCACAGGCGTTATTTTTTCCCCTATAGGAGCCTCCTTGTGGGGGGCTCTTCCCCCCTTACACAGTTTTTTCAAGGCGAGCGCCGTGTCCTATGTGCACGTCGCCGCTTGTTTTCCGCTCGAGGTATCAGACGAGGAGGCATCCACCACTCGAAGGGCGGCTACTGAATGTGCTTACCACGTGTGCATACATCTTAGTTGATTTTTAAAACCTGGTTAGCTCACTTGGGTGAATGACCAAACTGAGCAATCGGCACATATGGGAGAAATTTGGTGAGCGTTTCGAATGAACAGCTCGCTTTTGTTTTCTTTTCTTTTGTTTTCTTCCCATTTGTGCTGCCCTAAATTGAGTTGTCTCCTTGTGATGTTCTGCGCCCCGTTTCCATTTGTTCATGTTTACCGTTTTGTTCTGCCTATCGTTTTTGCAAACATTGTTAATGAGGACCAGATTGATTTAAAAAGATTTGTATTCATTTTAAGTACCCTTTAATTTTTGTATGGGTAATTTTCCGTTTCGGGATGTCCGCTTGGCAAAGCAAGTGGGGAATATGTTAAAGACCCCATAGGAGGAAATTCGATAGTCGTTCCGTTTTCTCCCTCTTAGGGAGTTGCAGCGAGTTCAGGGGGCATGACATAATGGCGTAATGCCTCCGCTTCCTGTGTGCAGTGGAGGGCTGGAACGAAATGGACCAATAAAAACAAACATAAAAATGGCTGAGTTGACGTGCAGGTGGTGGGGGTACTACCCACGCGTGCGCCACCCGGAAAGGGAAACACGCCAAAAAGAGAAGCAGAAAAGAAGAGAAGCAGAAAAAGAAAACAAAAGAAAACCAATAGGGACGTTGTAACTGCCCGGTGGGAAGGGCGTAAAATCCCCAAACACCTCTGCACAGCATTTGGCATGTGCATGGTTAAGCATGTTCAACAATTTCACACGTTGAATAATTCCACATGATGAATAATTTCACATGATGAATAATTTCACATGAAAAAAGCGGGAGGAGTCACGCAAATGGGGAGGCATACCCAGGAGGAAGTCGGCCAAATTGTCACAAATTGGGGGCTGACAAGCTGTCACAAATTGTGGCCTTCCAGACGGCCGCATTTTGGGGTCTTCCAAGCTGTCCCAATTTGGTATCCCTTTTGTGCCCCTCCTGGCGGTCTCAAATGACGGTCGGAATTTCTCCCAACTGGAAGGGAGCGGCAGAAGCTTTGCGCGAAAGCTCTGGGTTGACGGGCTGCCTAAATTTTATCTTCTCCACATGAAGAAGGGGGTAGTAAATGTCCAAATCGATATCCTGTTGGTCCATTTTTTTGTTCATATTTAAATTTTTCAAAACGGAGAAGGCCTGCTGCATATTCTGCTTGGAGAATATTTTATTGTACAAATCGGCGTCTACTTCAAAGCGGCTTTCCTTCTTGCAGTCCTCCACAGCTTGCATATAAAAAGCGACATTATTCGATGACATAGAACAGGGGAAGGTATAAATGGTTGACCTGTTCTCGTTGTAACTGTTTAAATTATGGCTAGCTATTCCTTCCAAGGATTTTACGAAATTTTTATTGAAAAAAAGGATTTTTTTCATACTGCCCATTTGGGTATCTCCTTCCATACCGTACTGCCTTATGTAATTTTTTTCAAACATAATTTCATTTTCGTTTGTAAAGAGAACTTCCTCCCCTTGGAGTTCACTTGCGCCGTTTGGTTCTTTTCCAGCATTCTGTGTTGAAGTATTATGCATTGGTACCCCCGAGTTGGCGCCATAATCGGGGGCGTGGCTCATGGATCCGTTTCCATCTCCTGTGTTTATTTGGCCCTCCATTCTGCGGCCATTATTTGGAAGATGTACACTTTGTATTTGCATTTGCATTTGTGGCGTTCCCGCGCCAGCAGCGCCACACACGTTACTATTCCCAGAGGAGGGGTCGAACCCACCGCTCGGTAGCAGGTTCGGATAAGACGACATGTTGTTCCCACCTACCATCTGGTTCCCATAGGCGTAGTTACCATATTGGTTAATTGCGGCTGCTCCTCCGCTCCCGTACATCGCGTACTGCTCGTTCTGCATATTTGGCTGCATGGCGTTACAATTTTGGGGGTAACTAAAATTGTTTTGGCCGAAGGCATTGGACCCTACGACCCCATAGGCACCCTGCACGGGGGGGGCCGACTGCATGTTGCCTCCGAGGTTGTTCTGGTTGTATGCATTCCCAATGAGCTGATTCCCCGGATGGTTCCCCGGATGGTTCATGCCGCTGATGTTGCCGCCTCCCCAGTTGGGGGGCATCATATTGTTTGATGGATTCATACCGAACATGGCCTGTCCCTTCGCGTCGTAATTATAATTCATGTAGTTTTTATCACCTCCGTGTCCTGCCATACTATGCACATTGCTGTTATGGAGTAAGTAGCTATTACTGTGCTGCTGATTTGGAGGAGCTTCCATCGATTGGTTTGTATTCCTCCCACCTGCAAAGAGGGGCTTTCCCTCCTTTAACCTATTTCCAAAAATGGACTTATCTTGACTCGCAAAGTCATATATACTAACAGTGGGGAGATCAACCTTCGTTGCGCTTTTCATATTGTTGCCAAAAAGGGGGGTATTGTTTTTCGTCTTATTTCCAAATATAGATACGTTTTGCTTAACTTGGGAGAATAAAGCTTGGTCGTTGTAGTTGGGTCCATTTTGCTCCTTACCAAAAAAGGGGATGCTATTGTTTTTGTTCTGGTACATGGTGAATCCCCCGTCGGCAGGAGACATAGGGATGCCACCCATGGGATTTCCACTCATTGCACCTCTAGCGTGGTAATAATTGGAAATCTGCTCCATCGGGGGGAGGGGCTTTCCGAATGAGTCATTTGTATACACCATGTTCCTGTTGGGGAAGCCTTGCTGGTTACTAACCGCGTTTACTTTTTGCACGCCATAAAAATCGTTGTTACAATTTTGGAGCTCCCCATAGTTATGCTGCCGTTGCTCATTGTTGCCGGTGGCTTGAAATTGGGCGCCTCCCCCAGGAAAGGGGCCATTTCCCTGGAAGTTCATGCCCCCTTGGTATTCATTCATCTGATTCACCCCTCCGTTAAAACCATTGTTGTTTAGCATTTTGTGGGGAGCTCCCCGGTGGGGGGAATGGCAGAGAGGAGGTGAAAAAAAGGGCGAGTTCTTGTGGTGGTGGGGGGGGGAAGGGCTATATATACACGGTGCCACACTTGGCTGTTTCACTCAAAGCCGTATTCACAAAAAGGGAGTAGCTTTATATACTTCCAGCTAGATGAATAAATTTGCCTATAGGCATTTGGGCCAGTTAACGTGTAAAATAATGCCACGCCGCAAAGTCATAAATCATTCGATCTACATTGCTGCGCTTTTTATGCCATTTGAGAGGGCCCCACGTAACATGTTTCTCTGCCTCGGCGGGGAAATAAAGAAGAAGAAAATGCAAGTGTGTTCTTAATTCATATGTGGAGGGGAAAATCTCTTCTTGGCCGTTGGCGGAGGCACAGAATGTTTACTTAAAGGAGCCTTATCTGCGCGTTCCTTTTTTCCGCATTTTCGAAGTTCGCAACTCTGCGCGAGGTTTAAAATGAAGGCCGCGCGAAGGTGCACCACGAGTATGTACATATAAATATATGGGATATGTACGTGCATATTTCGTCATATTATATGCAGGCAGCAAAAGGAGCGCTCCTTTCGGCATTCTCCTCCACATAATGCTTTTTTTTACAAGTTTGGCAACAGTAGCTATGCATATATGCATGCATATTTATGTATACATATGGTTTTTTTTTTTCTTTTTCCGATTTGCTAGATGCTAGAAGCGATGTCTCCTCCTCTCTTCGCCTCTGCGATTTTTTCCATTAACACGTGGAGAAGCAAAACATGCTGCGTTAATTGATGCCGCTTTTGCGTTAGCATGTATGTAGCTTGACTCTGTTCATTCTTTTTTTTTTTTTTTTTTCTTTTTCACGTCATGTATGGCCCCATACTAGCACAGGCTCATTTCTCTCTTTATATATTTTTTCGTGCGGGAAAATTGGCACGCTCCACAGGAGTCGCCAAGATTTACAAGGCTTCCTTTTTTGTTCCACCCCACCCCAAATGGTATACCTACTTTGTGAGGAATAATTTTGAAATTGTACATTTGGACCGTTTTATCGGATGAACGTTTTGGCTCAGGAGAATGCCGCCGTTGGTGTGGCCCCTTTCGTCTGGCTCTGTGAGTCCCCTCTTTTTTCTGTCGCAGTCTCGAAATGACGGCATGTTTCGAAAAGGTAGAGGTGCTAAGCGTACGACTTGCCGCTCTACCGCCTCGCTCGACGTGGTTCATCGCTGCATCGGCTGTCTCTGCGAACTTCCCCGTGAATGGCAATTTTCTAAGAAGCACGTAAATACAAGCAACTGCGTTAAAATGTGTGTATACATTTCGCGTCCACATATCTGTCCATATGAACTGCGCGAAGGGTTCCTCCCTACGTGGTACTACGGTTTGTCCTTTTTTTTTCTCTTGCGCAAACAAGACGGCCCCCCTGCACGTAGGCCAGCTGCCCTTTTTAAACCACAACTCTTGAAGAAACAAAAGGAAAACCTCGCCGGAGACGCATAAAAACGACGTTACGATTTTCGTTAGCGTAAAAAAATGAGTATGTGTCAAAAAGAGTTGCTTTTTCATTTTGAAAAAAGGAGAATGTCAACAGGATAAATGATGATTTATTCCGGTGAGGGAAAAAATGGGAAAAGTGCACACAGATATGTACATATGCATACATGGGCTGCCTTCAAAAATTTACAACTGTATAAACCGCAGCCCCCTCTTTACGCCTTTTAAAGGAGTGCAATTATGCACACACGTGGGTACGCGCTGGGGATTGACCGTGGCGAGGTGCTCCTTTAAGCCTATTCAAAACGAAGTGCCACCCACTTCCTCAGGTGTAAATCACTTCTTCGGGGATGTCTTCCACTGTTTCGGCATGTCGTCATTTTGACGTCAATTCATCTGTCTTCGTCTTCCTGCTCTTTTTCCCATATCGTCTGTTCCACTTCTAACCTCCGCTCACCCGGCGAGCCCCTCGTTCTCGTGTTCTTGCCTCCTTTTCATTAAGTAGTAGCCCGCCGTTTCCTCGTCGTCAATGTTGTAAAAGAGTAAGCTCAAGTTGACGTTCTTTTCTATTTCCTCGATTAATTTTTGCGCTGCCTCTTTTATATTGTCAATCTGAGTGGAGGTGGAAGCCAGGAGTCCCCCTTTGCTCGTTGAGGCCACTTTACTCAGCAGCAGGGATGTGCCCTTCAGGGCGGCTAATGAGCCCCCGGTTTTGGCGAAGGAAAGTTGAGCCAGGCCTGTTTTCCATATTATCGGAAATGTAGATGATAACAGCAGGGGGATTTCAATGGTCATTTTGATGATAGCGCGACGAACGGGGGACGTGATTTATGCGAGCACTGTTAGTATGCGCTTTGTTTGGTGAATGACAACCAAAGGGGACAACCCAAATAAAACTGTTCCAATTTGTTTCTCGGCGTAGTGTATTTTGAGAAGTCAAAACGAGATGTCCTGAATGCGTTTTCTCTAAATGAAGCCATTTTAAGGTTTTTTTTTTTTTGGGGGATATTTTTAGATGAACAAAATGTATAAAAAAAAAAAAAAAAAAAAAAATGTGAAGGTAATTTTCTTTTTCGCCACATTTATGCACACACCTGCTGGTCCTGTTCCCCTTTGTCCACCTTGACGTGAGCAGCGTCCTGACCCTCCTTCGCAGATTGCTTAACTTTTTGCCTCTTAAGCTTATCCTTGTAGTAATCAATATAAAGGGTGTTAATTTTCCTCTTGAATTTCAGAGCCGCCATGGCAACTTCCTCACTCCTGTGATCCATAAGTTTGTAGCACACGTCAAAGATGTTGGAGCTGGTCACATGTTTTAAGTTAAAGTGGAAATTATTGGTTACGTAAATGAGCCCGTTTAAGAGAGTCTTCACATCATTTTCGTCTTTCGATTTTTGTAACTCAATTAGTTTGACTAAGAAATTGTCAAACTTCCTTTTTTGCTTTTCTTCATTGGATGCAACTAGCTGTTCATTTTTTTTTCGAGATTCTTCTTTAATTCTTAATTGCTCCTTTAGACTAATTTCTTCTTTGTCTTCATCCGCCTTATTCGATTTATAAATTAAGTGTATAAGTTCGGGACACTGTTCGGTTAGGATAGCGTTAGCAGACTTCTGCGCCGTTGGGGCTTCTTCTTTTTCTGTGGGTTCCTTTTCGTTCAGGAGCTCCAGATCGAGTCCATCATTCGTTAGCTTTGAAAAGTTGTCCAGTTCTTTTATTCTGTTTTCCACCAGTTCCTTTTTTTTTTTTTTATCCTTTACCACTATTTTGTTTGTGTACATGCCTATGATGGATTCGATGTCGAAGGATTCTCCGCCCGCCGCGTTCGAAGCGTCCGCTCCGTCTGTACGGGCTGTACCGCCTGTGTTTTCCTTTTTCTTCTTTTTTTTCTTCTCTGTCTCGGTGGTGGTGGTGGATGAGTCGTTTTCCTTTCCGTCAGCTTCATCCGTTGCGTTCACTTCGTCGGCCGCGTTCACTCCTTCCCCCTCGTCCCACGTAATTGGTCCCACTTCCACGAACCTGGCGCTCCTGCCGTACTTTTTCTTCCCCCGTTTTGTTCGATCCTGCTTAACGTGGTACTTGCAAAAGTGGCCAAAGAGGGGTGTGTAAATGACAATTTTGCAGCCTTCCCCATTTCGCTTCCTCCCCTTACACCTTTCCAATTTATCGATCAATCCAATGACTTTTAATTTTGTATTGTCCGATACTTCTAACAACCTGGAGTTATAATACTGTGGATCTTTGTCCTTCACAACTGGGTTGACAAGGGCGATAACGGCTCCTTCCTTTTCCGCTTCAAATTGTTCGCAAATTTCTCCCGTGAGGAAGATCCTGGATTGTGTATTTTGCAAATCGGAAATGTCCCAGAAAATAAATTTTTCGTTATTGTACTTCCTGACTTGGTAAGGTATATTGACAATGGTGCAGATGATGACAATTTCTTCTTCTTCATTTTTTTTTTTCTTAATTTCGCTGTCGTATTTCGATATGTAGTCTGCGAAGCTCATGATTGTTTTGTTTTTAAGAAAGGACTGGCAGTCCTCCTTATTCGTTTTCCACTCCTTCAGCTCCAGCTCGATTTCGTTCGCCTTTAGTTTGTTGCCATGTAGAATTGGCAGAGCTGGGGTGGCCTCATCTTCCTCGCTGGCAAGCACTATCGCCTCATCACTGGAGAGCACTACAACTTCTTCGCTTCCATGCGCTTCTCCCCCTTTGATGTTATCCATTTGGTAGAGGCGACCAATTGGCAAAACTGGGATAATGCAGAGGAAGCAGGGGCTGCTCAACGAGTAGACCGCGGGGACAATATGCCCATATGTGTCTCACTTTGGCTAGCATAAAAAAAAAATGGCTAGCTACAACATATTCGGGAAACGACAGAGGAGTGTCACTTTTTTGCAGTTTTATGTGTCATCATATTTGTACATTTTTTACCTCTTCATTGTGGACAGCTTAGCTAAACAGGTGTTAAGTTTGAGAAGCCTTTTTTCTATTTCGTTCCTGCTGCTCCGGATGGTTTTCACCTTTTTTTTTTTTTTTTTTGCGAACGTGCAAAATAATGACGTAAAAACGCTGAGGGGAAACAGACGGAGAAATCGTGTTTGTGCCTTCGTCAAGTCTGTCTTTTTCTTAAATATGTTGGAGGGGCATAAAAAAAAGCGTGGCGCTTCAGAGTTCGCCCAGAGGAGGAGATGCATACGAACGGCTGGTTAAGTTACAAAGAGTGGAAATCACCGGCACGAATTTCTACACCAATGTGATGCTTCCACGCACATAAGGGATTTGCGATTTTGTTGAACAAGGCATTATTTCGTATGTGTGTGTTGGAGGGAGGCGGGGGGCTCCTTCAAGGTGGAAGTAATACCATCGTATCAACATTCCCCTAGAAGAAAACACTTATGTTTGCAAAAAAAAAACTCGACTAGCCCAGCAATTATTATTATGATAAGTGGGAGCAAAACCAATTCGTGTTGCGAAATGGGTCAATCATTGCCATACATTGATGCCTCGGAAAATATAAGAGCAAAGGAGCAAAATGAATACGCCCTCCCCTACTAAGGTTTCCTTATCGATGAGGTGGAAGGTGGCGTAGCACAGAGTGGAAGAAAAGGGGTATATCCCTTCTCTAACATTTGAACAATTATTTTTTTAGGGGGGAGAGGGAGAGACGAAAAGCGTAAGTGCGTTGATTAAGGGAGGTTTCTTTCCTTTCCTCAGGGAAAAAAAGAGTAAATCCTTTGGTTCCAAAAGTGTTGGCAACTTCCGTAACGCGAAATGTACGTATAATTGCAAATGTTCCTATTTTTCCCATCCCCATGTAGTCATACCGTTGGGCAGGGGGGTTCATTTGGTGAATTTCCTCATCTCGTGGAGGCTGATTTGATCTCTTTCTAAGCTGGTTCACCATTCGGCAGCTATATATGCATGCGCGCGTTGAGAATCTGCATCACGTTCACATTGTATATGTACAGATATAGCATTTCTGCGTCGGTACAAAAAAAAAAAGTAGTTACAACTCGTTTGGCATTTCCTCCTCTGCTGGTGACTGCAGAGCGGATACTGCCTGATTTTGATTTTGTCTAAAAAGGGAAAGACGATATTTCCCCTTGCTTGAGCCGAATTTCCTCCGCTTTTTTCTTTTTTGCAAGAGATTAAAAAAAAAAAGGACGACCCGCGCAGCGCCCCTGTCGTTATGTTGACATAAAATAAATGCATGCCGCGGAAACGGGAAAGAATAAACAGAAAAATAAAGAAAAAAAAAGGGGGGAAAAAAAAAACTATTTTGTATGCGAAATGGACCACACGAAATAATAATTGACTTATTTTTCCCCCATTTTAATACTTTTTTTTGAGAAGGTCAACATAATTGTGGAGAAAACACTACAGTAGCAACTCCAAGCGAATGCTACAACATCTTTTTTGTACCTTTGCCCAACCGCCGCGGGACAGGAAAAATGAAGAACTATTCCATTTTTACGCGCTGCATTTTTTACCCCGTTCGATAAAAAAAAGAAAAAAAAATGGACGCAAAAATGGGAGAAAGAATGAGCCAAGATGGAGAGAATAACAATTACGAAGGTCACTTTGGCGCGGCAAATAATTATGGCAAACTTTGCAACCGTGAGGAGAGTCAAAATATGATTCCACATGTTGGCGGTAGAGTAATGGCAAGGGTTCACTACAGTGGGATTCCCCCGGTGAGGGAACAGGGGGATGTCTGGTTTGGCGCGGAAGAAGGAGCTGTACAGAACGGGGCAGGGCAAAATAGGCCAGGACGAAGTATCCCAGGACAGAGTAGGGAGGCCTCCAAGTGGGCTTCTCCACCATGTGGACATTCCCCCAATTGGCCCATGCAGAATGAGGGTGCCTCCTACTGGCGCCCAAGGGGAAGCCCTCATAATAACCGCTTAGGAAGACGCCCCTGGAGCCAAGCACCGGGCGCGCAAAGGCAACACTGCAGCAGCAACAACGGTTGGAGGAATTACCACATGGGTGGTTGCCAAAGTGAGCAGCCTGGACAACCTCCGCAACATGCCCACGGAGCACTAGCACCAGATGGAAATTATTTAAAAAATTATTTTTCCTCCTATGGGAATGGTTACGCGGATGACGGTAGCGGCAGTGGCAACTGCGGATATCACTACGGTGGCGCCCCCCAGAAGGCTTCCGAAAGCGAAAGCGCCCGTGCGTATAATGGCGGCATGGGAGCAGGCAGAAGGGGGGGTGCCCCCCGTACGGTTCGTAGTAGTGGCCCAAGTAGGAAAATTCTTCCTCCGCCACCCTCCGCCTATAAGCAACATAGGGGGGTGTACCATAATGGGCTCCACCAAATGGGCAGCATAAGTGACGATAACCAAGATATAGAGAATCCCTACCTGGAAAGCACCAACGTGGTAGACAATGCGAACAGAGCAGACGGTAGCCAATGGATGAGTCACACGATGGGTGATCCCTACGAGAGTAGAAGTTTGCCTCATGGGGAAATCCCACTGATGAGAGGTTCTTATAACATTCGCAAAGGGAACAACTGTGTGGGATTCCCTTCGACGAATTCGTTTATAGCCCCGCCGTACAGCAACTGTGCGGTCAGGGGGACCACCCACTGGAAAAAATCGACGGAAGAAAGATATGAAGAGCATTGCTCATCAGTGAAGAAGCCTGGTGAGGGGAAAAGACAAAAAGTGGATTTTCCAATTAGGAGTGAGTCGAAGTACGTGGAGATGAATGCGAAGAAGAGAAACAAAACGGATGATCATAATGAGGATACGGTTCAGGATGCAATTCGACCCAATGGAATAAATGTCGAAATGAAGAGAAGTAAAGAAAGTAGCAAGTTCATTTTCTGCCACCATTGTGATGTAAACATCGAAGCAGACAAACTGCAGGAACACAACCAAAGTGAGCATATAAAGTGCCCCATAGATAATTGTGGGCAGATTTACAGCCTGGACGATTTGGACGTCCACCTGCTAAACCATATAAAGAATGACAAAGATGAAGTGATCCTAAATGACTCCAAGGAAATTGAAAAGTGGATCCAGGAGAGGAAAAAAAATTATCCAACGAGGGAACAAATAGCCATCAACATGAAAAATAATGAAAATGGGAAAAGGAGAGAGAGAAAAAAAAAGCCAAATTGCCTAATTGAGGAATTATTATTTGAGAGCTACTGCTCAGCTGTCGGGCGAAATATATACTTGAAGAATAAGTGGGAGAAATCCATTTTCGTTCCCCTCTTGACGAAGCTGGAACAAGGTAGCCTGCACAATAATATGTACGAAAATAGTTACTACCCACTTGTTGGCAGTCCCATGGGGGGGAAATATTACCCAACGAATATGCGAAGGAGACCATTTAAAGAGAGGCAACTTATCGACTCACTCAACATTCACAGGAAGTCTCCTTTGCTGTACCAGCTGATGAAAAAGGAAATTTACCTGTACGAGAAAAAGCTGATAAAGTGCATCCAGTTCATCACGCGCAGTGGCTTCTTTGACGACTCCGAGGGGGGCGCGGGCGGCACAGACATCCACGAACTGGGGTAGCCGCGAAGGGGAGAGCAGAGCAGAGGTGTCTTAGCTAAGATGTCACCTGCTTGGAGGAGTATCCCCTCGTTTGCCTTCTCCACGTCATACAAGGTGTACCCCCTTTCATATGGGTAAATTTCTCTTTTTTTTTTTTTTTTTTTTTTTTCTGTTACCATATTATTTGTTTTTTTTTATTGTTATCATACTATTTATTTTTCTTTTTTTTGTAGGCAAAAATAGGGGGGCCATTTTTTTGACAACGTTTCGAACCGCAGCGTGCCTCCCCCCCAAGTGTTTGTTTCTTTCCCCCCCGCATACTTGCTCTCTTTTGTCTGCAAAAATGAAGTGCACAATTTGAATTGGAATAAACTATTTCTTTCAACACTGTGTGTACTATGTATAATTTGCGTAAAAGGGTTGTTAAAAAAAGTTGGTACGGAGGGGGTCCCCTTGTCCCCCCTACAAATGATCACAATGATCAGAATGATTACAATGATCAGAATGATTACAATGATTACAATCATCACAATGTTCAGGATGCTCCCATCCCATAGGTGGCTAACCAGGGGGACGTTTCCCCCGTTTTGTAAAAAGGGGGAGATATTGCCTCCACCGAAAAGATGATAAGTCTATTTTCCGCTTTACGTTCCATGTGTTAGTTGCTCCACAGCAGGAACGAGTTTTTCTCCATACCTCTGTCTGTTTCTATGCAGGCTGGTAAAGCCGACTCGGTCTGTTTCACCGGGCCTCCCCGCCTCTTCCCCATTCAAAGCGGGTAATCATTGTGGTAGAAAATACATTCCGTGTCGCCGTCCAAACGGGGTTGCGATACCCAACAAAGGACTGCCACGTCGCGGAAAAGGGATTCTACCTTATTTAGACGTCCTCGTTTGACGCATCAGAGTGCTACTTCACTGTGTAGTCTCTCCTTCTGCGCCAAGCGAACTTCCCTTATATTTATGTCTCCTCACCCCCCTGCTGACGTATTTTTTCCCCATAACATTGTCCCACTTTGGAAAAGGCATAAAGGGGCATCATTTCTCTTCACCCCACTGGCATTGTACATGTTGAGAGAATCCGGTTGGTTAATTTTTGCGCAACTGTATTTGAGAGTGTCCAGCGGCGGACTACAGAAAAAATGAAAAAGAAACGACAAAGAAGGAAGGCTAAATGGACTGTTCCGGAGGAATGTCACTCTTGGGAGAAAGGCAGCATATCACAGGTAAGTGCAGGCCACCCCAAATGACAGTTCTGACTTTGACGCTTGACATGTTTGTGGCAAAAGAGAAAGGAAAAAAAGAAAAAAAAAAAAGCAACTATGCTGCGATTATATATAACCAGCTATATGTATTATTCCTTTACAATACGATACAAAAGATAGGAGTGTGTTTTTATCTTGCGCCAAGCCTCCTCCCCCGCTGATGCGTAAAAGCGGCCCAATGGGTTTGTGAAGAAACCACGCTCCGTTCAATAGAGAGAGGGAAAAAAAAATAAATAATCAGCCATAGAATTTTTTTTTCCTACATGGCTGGAGGGCTATACCAGTTTAAGAAAAAAAAAGTAAAGAAGGGAAGAAAAAGGAAGAAACGGGAAGAAAGAGGTAGAAAAAGGAAAAAAAAGTAAAACAATCTGACGCTTTTAACGAATCGCTTTAACCGCAACATACGTAGAAAAACGCCATTTCAGCGTAGCATCGGAAATTACCCTCCAGGAGCCGAGAAATGCTCAGCGACCGCGCGGGGGAAGCAGCGCAAGAGCGAGCATACAAATACAAGCCAAACGAGAAGAAGTCAAACAAATATGTACGTATGTATGTAAAGCATGTATGTATGTATCGATGGATGTATATACATAGGCATGCCCATCTTCGTACAATTAAAACTGAGGAAGTAAAAAAAAAAAAAACAAGTAGGAATAAACATAGCACCACCTTCAACATTTTGTATCACTTCCTTACACGAATATTACATAGGTGGGACGTCGTGAGGAAACAAGCCCCCCGCCCCTGCCCCTCTTTCCCACATTGGGAGAGGAACTCATATGCCCATTAGGCGGGGGACTGTTTTGTTTTACGTTGCCTATATACCTACTAGAGGGGAAGAAAAAAGCAGGGCTGCTCAAGGTAGAAAACGACATAATATAGTTGCGTAGCCAGCGGTGACGTCTTGACTGACCTTTGTGATTGTTAAGAGGAAGAGAGAGGGGACACCGTTTTGTGTTACCCCTGGCTAGAATCACATATATATGGATCCGTGGTAAAGTTTCAAAGGCATGTCAGAAAAAAATGGAAGATAACTCCTACTTTGATGAGGTAGAGAAGCTGCTGGAAAATAAAAGTAAGAACAAGGAGGAGGAAGAGGAAAAGAAGCAGAATGGAGTTGTACAAAATAGTCGCAGGAAAAAGAAAGAAATAAAGGGAAGGGCAACGAATGGAAAATCGGACAACCGCAGTGACAACGAGACGGTGGGGAAGGATCAAAAGGAGGAATATGGAAATGGAAATGGAAATGACGAGGACGAACATAATGACAACGAACAGAATAATGACATGGACAGCACGCGAGATGACGAATCCGTTGTGAAAAAAAATTCCCATAAGAAAGAATTAAATGGGGGAAGGAGAAGGGGTAAAGGAGGAAAAAGTGACCCGCAGGGTGGCAAAAATAAGTCCAGAGCGAAGAGGAGGGGAAGCCAAGGTGGAAGTAGTGGGGAGAGAAGCAGAGGTGGTGGCAGCGATGTTACTAGTGAAAATGGCAGCGAAGAAGAAAGCGTAGATGAAGCCCCGAATGGTCGTGCCCATGAGGGGGGGCGTGGCAGCGCTCGCGGCAGTGGTGACAGGCACAAAGAGGCTAAGACGAAGAGGAGTCGCTCCAGGGAAGCAAATCGGGCCAGCGGTAATGATAGAAAGAAAAAAAACAGAGTGAGAGACACACCCAGTGATAGCATTGTGGAAAAACGCAAAACGTATTCATCGGAGGAGTCTAGTAGTGGGCACAAAGGAAGAAGGAAAAGACATAAAGATAGGGATAGCCCCGTGAAATCGCCCAGGGAAATGTCCCAGTCGAAGTCTGGCGAAAGTGATGACGAGGTTGAGTTGGAAGGTAAGAGACGAAGTAAAAGAAAGAGTGCAACAGAGACAGGAAGAAGGAAAAAAGGTCACGAGAAAAAGGATCAGAAAAACAGGGCTCGGCAATGTGACTCAGAGAACGAAGCAGAAACTGACCGAGAGGAGACGAATGGGGAAGACACCAACAGTGATGCGGAGAATAGTGACCAAACGGAGAGTGGCCAAACGGACAGTGACGAAACAAAAAACGACGATGACAGCGACAGTGGAAAGGATGCCGGCAGGAGGAAGCGCAGCGGCAAAGTGAAAACTGTCGGCAGGAGGAGTGACAATAGGGGACGCCAAAAAAAGGCAAAATCCGAGTGGGAGGACGAGTCAAATTTGTCCACAGATTCAGAGCGTGGCGAAAGGGGAAGAAGAGGAAGGGGGAGAGAAAAAGAAAGAGGAGAAGCAGGGGTAAGCGGAAAAGCAAGAGGAAGAGGAAGCGCAGGAGGGAGTGTGAACTCGGACCAGGAGGAAGAGGAAAACAGAGAAATTAGCGAAAGTCGAGACGATCGGGAGAAGCAAAGGAGGAGACATAGAAGGAAGACCCCCAGTATTGAACGGGTTTCTTCCAGTAAAAGGAAAGCTTCCTATCGAGATGACAGCAATGATGAGGGTGACGACGCTGATGAGATTGGCGACACTGATAAGGATGGCGACGAATCCGATGGGGAGCGCTCCGGAGGTGATGACGCAAAAAAGAGAAAGAGAAAAAAAAAGAACGATAAAGAAAATGAGAGAAAAAGAGCAGAACGAGATGCGTCGTCCAGTGGAAGCTCCTCTAGTGGGGAAGAAGACACTCGAAGGAAACGGAAAAGGAGAAAAGCCAGTTCTAGTATGAGCGGCTCAGATTCCAGTGATGGGGAGGAGCGCGACCGCAGGTCAAGAAGCCGAAGAAGGAGGAAACGAGAGAGGCACGATCTGGAAAGGAGGGAAAGACATCGTGATAGGGAGAGGGAGCGTGAAAAGGAAAGGCAACGTGAAAGGGAAAGGGAGCGTGAAAGGGAAAGAGAGTGCGCGTGGGAACAAATTCGAAAGGAGCGCGAACTCGAGCGAGAACGGCAAAGAGAAAAACTGAGGAAGGAGAAAGAAGAAGCAAGAATTAGAAGAGAAAAAAGAAGAGAAGAAAAAAGAATAAAGAAGGAACAAGAGGAAGCTAAGAGAGACGACCTAACTGTTCTGGTACTCAACTTAGACCTAAAGGCAGATGAAAGAGACATATATGAATTTTTTTCAGAGGTTGCTGGAAAGGTAAGAGATATTCAGTGTATAAAAGATCAGAGGTCAGGAAAATCCAAAGGAGTAGCTTATGTAGAATTCTACACACAAGAAGCAGTGGTGAAAGCATTATCGGTTAATGGGTATATGTTGAAAAATAGGCCAATAAAAGTCCAATCTTCCCAAGCGGAAAAAAATCGAGCCGCCAAAGCTGCAAAACATCAGCCCATTGATCCAAATGATATTCCGATAAAATTATATATTGGTGGGCTATTAGGTGCGCTAGGAAATATCACGGAACAGGAGTTAAAGCAGCTGTTTAATCCTTTTGGAGAGATTCTTGAAGTAGAAATTCATCGAGATCCTTACACAGGGAAATGCAAAGGGTTTGGATTCATTCAGTTCTTTAGAGCATCTGAGGCCATTGAAGCTATGGGGGTTTTAAACGGGATGGAAATAGCAGGGAGAGAATTAAAAGTTAGCTTCGCCCAGGATTCGAAATATATCCTTGCATCTGAGAAGGAGGCAAAGGACAAGCTGCTCGCAAAGCTCATGGCGAAGAAGGCGAAAGCTGAGGAAAAGGTCGAAGAGCCTGACAATGAGAAAATTGACAACGATGATGATGACGGAGGTGGGCTCATTGCTGGAGCCGGAAGTAAAATTGCCCTCATGCAGAAGTTGCAGCGGGACACCATCCTTGACTCGAGGGTAATGAGAGGATAGGCTAGAGGGCAGGAGCGAGGGGGAAAACTAGATATCTCCCACGCCTCTGCTTTGTTCGCACGTTCATCATATGCTTTTTGCGTCTCTTTGCACCTGTTTCCGGCTTTTCTGCCTCCTTTTTGCACCCCTTTTGATACATTTCCCCTTTTTTCCCCTTTTCCCCCACCAACATGGCAGATATCGAGCCAGTTCGCCACCGGAGCCAATACCATCATCCAATCAGCGCCGCTCGGGACTGCCCAACCAAACATCGTCAACAACATCACGCCCAACCTGGTTCTCTGCAACATGTTCTCACCCAATGACGAAAACATCGGCTCAGACCCAGACTTCTTCACCGACATAATTGAGGACGTTAAGGGGGAGTGCAGCAAGTACGGAAGTGTCACCAAAATCTGGCTAGATACAAAAAATATCGACGGGAAGATTTACATCAAGTATGCTAACCACGATGAATCCTTGAAGGCATTTCAGTTTCTAAATGGGAGATACTTTGGAGGTTCACTCATAAATGCTTATTTTCTGACGGCGGAGATGTGGGATTCGATATGTCGCTAGTTGCGCAGGAAGGGTTGAATTGTCCACATGCGAGCAAACAGAACAGTGGATGGGATCCTTCCCCCCCCGCTCAATCGTCAAGAGAACAAAATGAGTAACGTGTCTATACCGATGTGCCACTTTAAAAGAGGGGAAAACCCCAACTCTCCTTTCTTTTTAAAACATAATCCGATGTTAAAAGGGCGATTGTTTTATTTCACTTTATTTTATTATATTTTATTTTTTCCTTTAGGCCGCTGCCCTCCATTTGAATGTCTCTTATCATATCAATGTCTATGTCATACCAGTCGTGTTTATGCGCGACGTTTATCCTTTGTTTCAAATATGTGCATTCAAACTTGTGGGAAAAAAAAAATGACTGAGCGTGAGCAGCTGTAGCTATGCCGTTTTACCTTTTCCAATTTGTGCAGCGGAGTGACGTGTGAGAGTATGCAGCCATGTGTTAAGTGCCCCCTGCTTCGTTGTTCATTTTGTGTGCCCGGGAAGGTTTCCCTTCTTGTTGGTGACTACTCACTTTTGCACTTGCATTTTCATTTATGTAATACTAGCGCTGCGGAGGGGGGAGACGCGAAAAAGGGATCCCAACTTGTCGCAGGCCCAGCTTCATTTGTGTCTATAATATATGTGCATGCGCGTAGGCTTGGCAAGGAAAAGAGCACATATGACACATACAGAAAGAGGAATGCTATGAAAAGGGAGAAATCTCCAATCAGGGGCAGGACGAACAGTTCATTTTACACCGCCGCAATTTAATTGACTTTAATTTATCTGCATCCGTTCTTATGTGCATTTCGATTTAATTTTTTTTTTTTTTTCTTCTTCTCCTTCACGTGGTTATTACACATAATTTCATTTTTCACGTTTACCATTTAGGGCCTTCAGCAGAACATGCCTATCGCGAAAACAACCAAAAAAAATAGGATAAAAAATAGTAAATAAAAAATAAAATAAACGAACAGAGCGCAACATTTCACCAATTTGATGTTGTTATAAATCTTTTTTGTCCTCTCATGGGTAATGCGCTCTCATGCGGAGGTGCGGACGGATAAGCATGCCCTTGTGTGTATATATTTGTGCGCTTTTTTTCACCTGTTAGCAGAGGGAGTGGCCATACCATCGAACGGATGGGCGAAAAAACAAAGCTAAGCATGCGTAACATGGGCGATGCTTCTTTCTAATACCGCTAAAGTTGTAAATGGCGCAGAATGATGCGGTGTGAAATATAATGAAGCGAAATGAAATAAATTTCTTTGCATACTCATCCCAGTTATTCATACTATATAAGTGTAGCTTTTTCAAAAAAATAAAATAATAAAAAAAGAACCTTCTGTTGTAAGGCGCCCCTTTCGATAATTTCACTTTTATGTTGTTCCTGTTAGATTGTATTTTTCGGAACAACCGTGGACGAGTCCGTTTTGAGAGACGTGGAACGAAAAAAAAAAAAAAAAAAAAAAAAAACCATTTGACGTGATACCAATCGCTATAATTTAACTTCATCCCATTATGTGTGCTCCACGGAATGTTCCT